GGAGGAGAGGGCTGTGAGCCCCGCCCCCCCCTCCCGCCTCTGGCCCTGTTGCCATTCCCTATTACAAATCTGTAGGCAGCTGGCTCTCTGATAGGATGCACCTCACTGAAATAGGTCAGCTCGGCCTAAAGAAAGGACAGGCAGCCTGCCCCACTGCCATGCTACCAAGGTAAACAGGCAAGAATGCAGGGACAGGGACCATAACATGCCCTCCTTCCCATACCATAGACAAGCTGGAGGTCAGAGAAGAGTCCACTCGAGACCAGGACGGGGCAGCCATTAGGCCACCACCTGCCCATGGTTGCGCAGTCCCTCGGAGTGCCCCCACCCCACGCAAATCTTCTCAGCTAAAGCAGCTGATTGGCAATTAGCTCCAGCTGTTCCAAGGTAGAGGCTTTCCTCAATGCCTAGGGACTGGATGGTTACCCTACAGAGGTTCTCAACCTATGGGTCACGACCCCAAAAAGACCATCATCAGAAAACACAGGTATTTACATTATGATTCATAGAAGCAGGAAGACTACAGTTATGAAGTAGGAATGAAAATGATTTTATGGTTGGGGGTCACCATGACTGCATTAGGTCACAGCGTTAGGAAGGTTGAGAACCTCTGCTAGAACTTCCTTGCCTGGAGAGTGACGTGGTGGCTCAGGCAAGAGACAGCCTCAGGGACCCAAGAAGAGGAGAACAGAAGCTTCTGGAACGCAAAAGAAGACAGCAGGGATTCGGGAGCTCAGGCCATGGTGGTGACAGGCAGCTATGCCCAGCAACCGCTAAGGCAAATTTGGAGCGATTCACCCTTGCCGCACATCTGCTCAGCATGGTGTGTATTTCCCACATCCCCTTTCACCACAACAAGGCAGGGCTGTGAAGCTTCTGAAGAAACTGAAGCCAGAGAGCACAGCACTCGGCGGGACGGAGAAGCGAGTTGGGGCAGACTAGGGACGTCTTGTAAGCATGTACTTGCAAAGGAGAGTGGGCAGAGCTCAGATCCAGTCTTTCCCACCCCTGCTCCCCTCTGCTGCTCCTGTAAGCAGCATCAATTCTTTGGTCACCTGAGCAGGACAGCACAGGCACAGTGCCCAGCACCGAGCAAAAATTTAAGCAATTATGGTGTTTAGTCACTGCCCCATGTCCACTAGAGCATATTTCTGCTTAAAAGAAAATGAATAAATGTAAATAAATTCATTTTTACTAAACAGATTATTATCACTTAAACTAAGAACCACCTCTTAAGGACACTGAGGGATTTTGTTTAAACATTTTACTCGTCTTCAGGGTACCAGGAGTCTTCCTGTATCTCAGTCACTGCAAGGGCATTGCGCCTCCTCCTTCACCCTAAGCACTTTTCCACACAAGGCGCAGACCAGAGTGAGCCAAGTATTCCTAGTCCACAGTGGCTAAAGATGAGGTCCAGAGAAGAGCGAAGGGGCTGCGTGACCCACCCAACCACCTGGTAGACAATTACATAAGCTAGGCCCTTTGCCCCCAGAACTATAAGAGTAAGGATGTCAGGCTTGGGTCACCCCAGTGGATTCCCTGGCCCCAGCCCCACTCCACCTCTGCTGTTTTCAAATGCTAAGATCCAATCAAGCAGGCAGGCTGGGTAGTGGAGGGGGCCGATTTCCGGGGCCTGCGGTTGCTACACTCCACTTCCTTGTGATGACAGAAGTACTGTTTTTGAAACAGGAGGCCACTACCAAGCTCCTCAGGTCTCCACACAGCCCATAGAGGGCCCAGTTCCCCAGATCTACAAATTAGGCAGCATGGGGCATGGCACTGAATGGCACTGCTTAGCTTTGGGACCCTGAAGGCACCACACGTGGAAGGACCCCACAACTTCTTCTGTCTTTACTCTCCTGGCCGCCTGACCAAGCCTTGATTAAAAATTTAGGCAGCCGTTGACTAAGATTTCAGAGACGCCTAATACTTGGGAAGTAGCAGCAGTGAGAAGTCCCAGAGAGGGGTAGGGGTGGAGTCTACCACTGCCCGCTGGGTCCCTCAGTAGCCTTAAGGGCCGGTTGTGGGGCTAGCCAAGGCACCTCCCCCTCCCCAGCACACTAAAGGAAGGAAGCTCAGCTGAGACCGTCAAAGATAAGGGGAAGGGGCTAGGCAATACCAAGGACTCTCCTTAGGGTGCGGCCCAGAGCTGGGGGCTTAAATGAATTTACCATGTGACTTGGTTTCCATCCCCAATTTAACTATGTCAACTTGCATTTCTTGGCTGCTCCCCCTTGCTTATGCCTCTGTTTTTGCAGCGTGGTGCTTACAGCTCCGCCTCCTCCCTCTCTGACGTCACTGCTTACCCTTCTCCTCCCCCACCCTCACCCCAGGTAAAGACCTTTAGAGAACAGGGATTAATGGCTAAAAGGATCACAGGCAGATGGAGGGAGTCTCCAGCGTGAGGTTGACTGGCCTGGATTCAGGGCACACGTGTCTGACTCCACCTAGCAGGGGAGACCACAGTGTGAGGATCTGGGGGCTGCTCACACCTGGCCCTCTTCCCCACATCTTCAAAGTTCCCTCTCTGACTCTAGGAGTCCAGGCCTCCAAGCAGCACTTTGTACTTAGGCAACTCCAACCCAGTTACAAGCCAAGAGCTCCAGGGTCCCCTTTTAACATCCCAGGGCCTCGCTTTCCCCAACACACTCCTGGTCAACCCTGTCTTGCTTGCTCCCAAGGCCAGATCCCACACGTGATTTTCATGGGAATTTACAAAGATGAGGAAGGACTTCCGGGAAGTCAGAAAGAGCTGGCTTTGCTAGCAGCTGCTAGGAAACTTACGGTAGTGGCTATGTCTAGGCAATCCCACATCTTTGCTCCTTCTCACAAATGTGCCCAAACTGGACTGTAGCCCCAAACCCAGTCCCTTCAGTGACACCAGTGATTTCTGAATGTGGGACGTATAAAGAGATCCTAAACCACGGAGAATTCCCCCTAAAGCACATCACTGGCACCTTCTGCTCCCTTTCCCAGCCCAGTCCCACCCTCAGCTCTCTGATTAGAACCTGGGTCCTGTCCAGGCATTGTCTGCTTTGAAGGGCCAGCTGCCCGTGGAGGTCCAGCGTGTGCCGGGCTGGCTGGTCAAGAGTCAGAGGGCAGATGATGAGTGGGCGGAGTTCTCACCTTCCTGGAGCCCTCGGAAAGGCTGTGGTCAATTGCCGCACAACTTCATCTACACAGGTGACCCCAGCTGGGAAAAGCATCCCAAAGACCCGGGTGCAGAGGGCAGGCACCATCAAGGTCCCAGGAACCTCCTGATGGTGGTCGTGGGAAGGGAACACTAGCTTCTCCCTGACTGTGTAGACTGGTGCCCATGCCCCTGGGCTCTTGAAGTAGGAACTCCTTATTTTACCATGTCAGACCCAGACTGGGGAGTCTAAATCGAGGGGGTAAGGCCTTTGTTTGGCCCTCTCCTGCAAAATGGAGTCTAAAGGAAAGCCCCCACGGATAGCGCACCCCACCTCCTGCCCTGTCAGTTCTGGTTCATACTGGTTGAGGGTTAGGGAACCGTTTTCTTTTTATGGTGGGTAGCTCGCCTCGCCTCGGCTGCAGTAAATGCCATATTTACGCGTCTCACTCCCACCCCCACCAGGCGCTTCCCTCGACCTCCAAGGGTCCCCGCTGCAAAGTCAGCCTCAGTAGCAGCCTGGCTCCGCCCCACCAGCCCACCAGGCACCTGCAGGGCTCCTCTTTGTCTCAGGCTGTTCGGTGCCAGAACGAGAGTGCACAAGTGATGGTCTAAGTGCTGTAGGAGATGCTGGACCGGAGGCCCTCCACCTCCCTCCCTCAGACCCGGAGCTATACGCTGACCCAGTGCCTTCTCTCTGGGTTGCACAGAGTTGGTCTGGCGGCTGGAGGCACCTGCTCTAAATGAAGCAGGAAGAGGGAACCTATTCTATCGCTTTCTCTGATCTTGTCTAGGAGCAGCTTCCCAGGATCCCTGGAATCTGGGTCATCTCTAACCCCGGGGATCTGGAGATGGGTCTCAGAGACCCACCCTAGGCCTTGACTACTCCCCCGTCCCATTCTTCAAGACTGGAACAGAGACGTGTGCTCCTCTGGACATGCCTGAGTTGGTGACCAGCTCCTACATCGGCACTCTCTCAGTATGTCCTCAAAGAGAAGACCCCAGAACCAAATCAAGGGAGCTGGTGAACAGCATCTCCACGCAGCACAAAGAACACAGATGGTTCAACTTTGTAGCATTTTCTGCCCCTGCACCTGTGTGCAAAAGGACCCACTCAGTCACAGTCCTTCCCCCTAATGTCTGCCCGATCACTTCTAGTACCTGCAGGCATTGGAAATGGCACTCCAGATAAACCTGGGGGCCCTCTCCCTTCTCAGTGTCACCTATGTGCCTGCTGTGGATGTAGCATTTGGGTCGTGCCACCCCTTTCATCCCTTCGGGGTAGTCCCTCAGATACACCTTTCCCTCCCTCCCCTAGCTCCATCTCCTTTTGGGGCAGGACCAGCAGGGTTCTCTCCAAAAGCCATTGGCACCCTGTGGAAGGCCGAGGCACCATTCCAACCCTTTCATGGGTACCACAACCGATCTTTGTCTGTAGTACCCGCTCCCAGGATGGTGAGCTGGATCAAGAGCAGAGAACTAGCTAACTAGGGTAGATGGGGGGAGGGGGGAGTTCCCTCCTATACCCCAGAATGAGACAGCAGCCTCATGGGGAGGCGAAGAGGAAACACACAGACGCTCCGGCCTGGGCCAGAGCTGGGTGTGAAATACCGGATTTCCTTGTTTATTCGATTTTCTGATCATTAAGGGCTCCCAAGAGGGGCCAGAAATTACCACCCAAACAAAGCCACCCTCCATCAGTCCGCAGGGCCGCTGCTCCCCTGAGGCAGCCGGGCCAGCGAGCGTCGGCCCCTCCTCCTGGACTGCGGGCTCCAGATCGAGCGGTGCCCGCGCCCCCCGCCCCGAGTCCACGCGAGACAAAGCCCGAGCCCCCCTCCTCGCACGCCCCTTCACCGCCATCGGCGCTCACCTGACGGCCACTTTGACGCAGCAGTCGCCCTGGCCAGCCATGGTCCTCTGGCACTAGGGTCTGGGCGCGGATCAGGGGTGGGGGTCCGGGGGCCACTGCTCCGGGCAGCGGCTGCGGCTGCAGGAGGCGGAGGCACGGACACTGCTAGCGAAAGCGACCTCGCAGGCTGGAGGTGACATGCTCGCAGGAGGCGGCGAGGGGCTCACCCGCGGCCGGCCCCACGGGGCTGGTCCCGCGCGTCTCCTCCAGCCATCGCGCGGCGGCGTTGAGCTGGCTGACAGCGGGCGGGTGAGACCCGCAGCTCCCTACAGCGCGGCACACGCGCGCACACACCTCCCACCCTGGCCGCCACCTCCCGCCGCAGCGCGAACAAAGGGGGCGGGGGCCGAGCCGCTCCAGGACCCACCCCCAGCCCCTCAGAGCCGCACAGGGCTCCGCCCCTCCCTGGAGCCGCCAATAGAAGGTCCCAACGAGCAGCAGAGGCGGGACTTGAGACTTTAAAGGGACCTCTTGGCTCGCGTCCACCGGGTTGCTGGGAGGGGCTGGTAGGATTGGACGGTTTAGGGGTGAAGGCGGGAGTGGCATGATGTACTCGTCCTGGAACTTGACCATTCGGGAACCTCGGCCCTTGAATTCGTGGTACCTCAGCCTCATTGGCACCTTCCTTTCCTAAATGGGGAACGGGACTCAAAGAGGAACAGCCCAAGGTCATACAGCGAATCTGTGGCTTGGAGTGGGTAAGAACCCTAGCCTCCGGGCAGTGTGCTGCACCTCAGAGCGTCCCACAGTGATTAGCAACTCGCCATTTGAAAAAACCAGGAAAGTATCCCTTCTGCATTTATTCCCGTAAATTCGTCAACCTTTATTGAAGGGGATTCTTGTTTATGTCTTAGTAAATTTCCCCAACTCCACTGCTGCAACATCTTAAAAGCCCATCTTTTGCTTTGATTGCTGGCCAGCTCAAACTTTCCCTGCTAGACTAGGGTCCCATTGACCTTTATGACCCACAGATGACCCATTGGGCCTGGTTCACACTCTGCTTTGTGACCGTGGGGGCAGAGGGTCAATGTGGGAGGCCAGAGCTGCCTAGGAAGTGGTAGGAACAAAAGGGCTCTTTAACTCCAGATACCTGGATGAGGCTGGATGGCAAAGAAGGTGGGAAGGGAAGGTGAAGGCCAGCAGCCACAAACACAAAGTTACATAAAAGACAGGGGACAGCCCTGGAGACTTTAACACCAGGCCTTGAGAGAGGAGAGGAGGCTGTGACATTCCCTTTCCAGTTCACCTCCCCTCCCTCTGAGCCCCACTTCTCCCTGCCCCCCAACTCTCAACATTAGGGCCATTCACAGGGCCCCTCACCAGCTGCCCTCCCTTCCCTGGCTTCACCCAGCTCCCTCCTTTGGAAAAGGCCCAAGAGGAGGACCCAGCTGCAGCTGAAGATGTGGATGGAGACCTCTGGGGGAGGGGAGACAGGAGAGCCTGGCTCCAGAGCTTCTTGCATCAGCCTCAGATGATGAAATCGCCTCAGAGATTTTGGCAAGGGTGTGGGTTAGGGTCTCAAAGATCCAGTTCTTGGTGCCATCACACACACACACACACACACACACACACACACCCGTCCCCCCCACACCGTCTGTGACTGCTCTGCCCAGGAACCCAGATCCCTGCTTGGAATAATTTTAAAGGGAAATCTCAAAGTTCTGTCACGATATTGTTTCTACTCTCTCAGCAAACAGGAGGCAAGCCATGCCCCAGAGTGGCGGGGGTTGTCTGGATAAGGGGTCCTGGTGGGATCCTGCATATTCATATCTGCATCTGAAGCCAGTGAACCACATGTCTTAGAACAAGAGGCCGGCAGGGCATTGAGGCATCGAGACCTCCCCATCCTCCAACTGAAATGGATGGAGGGAGGTGAGGGATGCTTGTACTACACAGGCAGGTACTTCTTGTGTATGTTCTTGTTCATCCTCCAACCTCGTGAGCTAGGTTCTAGTACTCCTTTTCAATTTTGCAAGTGGGAAAATAGAGTCTTATAAGCAGCAGAGGATTTGAACTCATGCATGTAGTTCTAGGCTTCCCACCACCTCTAAGGTAATGCTCAAGGGGAAGGGAGCAGGATCTGCCCAGCTCTCCTTGAAGGAGTCACAGGCTATAGGCTTAGCCCTTCAGAATGATAATGTTGTGTTTTCACCAAAATGCTCTCCCTCCCATCCATCTCTGGGCCTCTTTGGTACTTAATTCTGGTTTCCTGTTTGCCTTAGGTCTTCCCAGACTTCCACCAGTAGGTGACCCTTCTGACTCATAGTTCCACTGCTGGGAAATGCCACCAGAGCTGTGTCCCCCCCCATCCCCCCGCATCCTCTGACGTCCAGGGTGTCCAGTTAGGGTGAGCAGGGAGGCGCATGGGCTGCAGATTTGGGCCTCCTAGATAGTTTCAGGGTTCCAGTTACCCCCACCCACCCCAGCAGCTCCCTCCTGGGCCATCAAGGAGCAGTTGGGTGGCGGAGGTTCAGACCCTGCCTCCGAGGCTCCACTGTTCAGAAGTGAGGTCATGTGGGGATCTGAGGTGAGAAAGAGGCTTTGCAGTTTGGAGAGATTTAGATCAGGCCAGAGAAAGCCTAAAACAGTCTCTGCCCTTGTTGAGCTTTATCCGGCTTCAACACTACTGCTGCTTTGCCGCCTTCCCACCTCCTACCTCTTCCCAGCTGCTCTTTTTCCCTTCTCTCCTTTCTAAACCCTGAGGTCCCTCAGGGTCAGCTGCTTTCTGCAGTCCTCAATGCTTCACACACACACCCCTGGCACACACCCATGACATCTCTCAGGATTGGCTACCGTATGCAACCCCTCAATGATACACACATACACATACATGATGTTTCTCAGCATCAGCTACTGTAAGCATATGCAGCCCTCAATACTTCACACACACACACACACACACACACACACACACACCCCTGGCACACACCCATGACATCTCTCAGGATTGGCTACCGTATGCAACCCCTCAATGATACACACATACACACACATGATGTTTCTCAGCATCAGCTACTGTGTGCATGCATATGCAGCCCTCAATACTTCACATACACACACACACACACACACACTCATACACACGGCGGGACGGGGGGGGGGGAGAGAGAGAGAGAGAGAGAGAGAGAGAGAGAACAAGCTGGCTCCAAGCCCCTAACTGGACTAGAGTATAAGCCATAAGCCTTGACTCCTATTCTGAGCTGAGTCCCTTCCCCCAGGCATCTTGGGTCCTCCATCATTTCTCCTGACAGGAGCTGTGGGCGTCTGGGCAGATGGGAACCTAGGGGAGGTGTGGGAAGCCCCCTCCAAGTCAGGAAGCTCCCACGCAACTGTAGTTAAAATACTCCAGCAGTGACTTAGGGCAGCCATCTGGCCCAGCGCGCTCTTAGACACATTCCACTTTTTAACAGTGATGCTGTGGGAACAAATAGAAACTCTGAAGGGGGATACCCATAGATACCAGGAATGTTCCCAAGGTGGTCTCAACTTGAGTCTTTTCTCCCCCCACCTTTGGGGTGGCCCTGGGCAATAGCTTTGTAAAATCTAAATAAGCCCCGGTGTCAATGGTGGTGGTGGATACAGAACTCAGGACCTTGAGTTCTAATCCCAGGCCTTTCCCAGCAGCTGTGTGGGGGTCCATGGAAGCAGAGGCCTCAGCCTGTTCTTCAACAGTATCCTCAGCAGCTGTCCAGCTGCAGCCTCAATGTCCATCCAGAGGCAGAGCCCGTTCTTCCCACCAACAGGAAGCTCAGGACCCCAGAAAAAGTCCACTGAGCTGCAGACTCAGGAGATCTGAGTACAGACATGACCCGAGCCTCACTTCCTGTGTTTAGGAGGAGACAGGCTGAGCCACAGAGGAAACCAGAGTCCGTTATAAATAGCAAGGATGGCAGAGAGCTGTGGGTTTCAAACATCTATCAGTCTTAAAACAAACTCTATTTTTGGCTTCAAATATAATTAGGATTTAATTAATGCTCTGTGTAGCCTCAAAAATTTATCTATTTCTCTTATTTTTAAGCCATGAAGCACAGGCTAGCACTGAAACTCATGATCCTCCTGCCTCAGTTTCTAGATAACTCTAGGCATACCTCATTGTACACAGTTCTCTGTCTCTTTCTCTCCAGTTTTTGAGACAGGGTTTCTCGATGTAGCCCTGACTGTTTTACACTCACTCTGTATTCCAGACTGGTGTTGACTCAGAGATCTGTCTGCCTCTGCCTCACAGTGCTGGGATTAAAGGCGTGCACCTGCCGTACATGGTTCTTCTTTTGGTTTTGGTTTTGGATTTTGAGACGGGGTTTCTCTGCAGCTTTGGAGCCTATCCTGGAACTCGCTCTGCAGACCAGGCTGGCCTCGAACTCACAGAGATCTGCCTGCCTCTGTGCTGGGATTAAAGGCACAAGCCACCACCACTGGCTCCTGTACATGGTTCTTAATTAAACATGGTGATTTTACCTACCCTTCTCCTTCGCTGTACCTTCTAACAGTATTCATGTGACAATTTTCAATGTCACCAAGTCCTAAACTCAAAAAGAACCCCCAGGACACATTTACCGCTAGTTTATTTTCAAGTGAAGGAACTGAGGCCCAAAGGAGGTAAAGAGACTTGTTGAAAGTTGCATAGTACAGTAAGTTGGGGCTGAGCTGCAAGGCTGGAAGTCTGGTTGCTGTGCTGTCCCAGGGCAGGCTCCATGGCAGCATGATACGGACCCCAAGGCTAAACATCTGAAATTAGGCTGTCGTAAGTTTATAGTCCTGACAAAACTTTGGTCTGAGTGAAATAACGAAAGACAGCCCAGAGGCTGAGTTGTGATCTTCTGAGTCACAGAGATCTGGGCTCCCATCCCAGTTCTTCCCCTTATGAGCTATGTAGCCCTGGGCCAGTGATGCAACCATACCCAGCATCAGCTCCCACATTGAGGAGAATCACGTTCTCATCTCGGGACCATTATAAAGTTACAGTGGGGGACCCTGCACCAAACATCCCACCCAGTGCTTGCCTCAGAATGGGTGTCAAGCCTTCACATTGTCCTCGGGTTCTCCATCTTTTCTCCAGCAGATTCCACCTCTGTCTGGACAGAGGGCTGGGTTTATTAAAAAGAGTACCAGCCTGAGAGGCACTCTCAGGAGTGTGAGCAAGGCTGACAGGACACAGGATGAGGTGTCATAGTGGGGGCTGGGATGGAGTTCAGCGGTGGGAGGCTTGCCCTGCATGCCTGGAATCCTAGATTCATCTGAGCAGCCAGTGTGAGATCTGCTGGGTGGAGAGGGGAAGCTGCAGGAACTTACCCACAGTCTGCTGACTACA